TGAAACTCCGACAAGACATCTCCTATTTTGGAGTCTCGGACGACGATCAAGTTCCGGTGAGATTTACCGTCCTCACTTTCCCATTTGCGATATAAGCAACCATCTATTATAAGTAGACTGTCCCACTGGGCCAAAATGGGGGCTCTGCATAGCATGTCTTTGAGCTTTCTGAATGCCTCCTCTTGGTCGTTGCCCCACTGAAACCTCTGGCTTTTTTGCGTCAAGCGGTGTAGACAGGCGGCGATGTTGGCAAATTTTGGGACAAATCGACGGTAGTAGGTGCAGAGACCCAGAAAGCTTCGCAGCTCATGGAGATTTCGGGGCTGCGGCCAATCTCTGACGGCTTGAATTTTCTCATTATCCGTCGATATGCCCTCCGGCGTCACGTGGTGCCTCAGGAATTTCATCTCTCGTTGGAAGAGACTGCACTTCTTTGGGTTTAACTTGAGGCCTGAAGACGAAAGCTGCTGTAGAACATCCTTTAAGTTCTTGATGTGTTCGTCGAAGTTGCGTCCCATGACTATGATGTCATCCAGGTATAGGAGGCACGACTTCCACTGCAGCCCTTTTAACACACGCTCCATCAGCCTTTCAAATGTAGCCGGGGCGTTGCAGAGTCCGAATGGCATGACATTGAACTGCCAGAGACCCCCATTAACGCCAAACGCTGTTTTCTTCTTATCTTTCTCGGCGATCTCTACTTGCCAGTACCCACTCTGCAGGTCGAGGGTGGAGAACCATGACGTCCCGGCTAATGTGTCCAATGTGTCGTCGATTCTTGGGAGCGGATAGCTGTCTTTCTTGGTGACATCATTCAACTTTCGGTAGTCCACACAAAATCGGGTGCATCCGTCTTTCTTCTTGACCAAAACCACTGGGGAGCACCATGGACTTGACGATGGTTCTATTACACCACTCTTTTCCATTTTACTTATCAGCTTCTGTACCTCGTCTCTTTTTGCCAGGGGAACACTTCTTGGAAGCTGTTTAATGGGTCTCGCGTCTGTTGAATGGATTTCATGCTTCACCACTGATGTTCTTCCTTGGTGCTCTTTTATTAACGCAAAGGTAGAGGCATGTTTCCATAATAGCTGCTTAGCCTTGTTCCTCTCGGAAGGTGATAATTGGTGTGTCCACTCTTTTATGTAACCATTGCTGCTGACTTTTCGGTGCTAGTTTCCAAATTAATTACAGCTTCAGCTGGTGTGCATTGTCCAACATCGGAAAATTGGCAAATTTGCTCTTGCTTGTTTGACAGGTTCAAAACTCTAACAGGAATCAATCCGTCCTTGTTGCTTTTCACCAGGGCATTCGCTATTAGGATGTTACTGTTTATGTTTTCTGCTGGTTCCACCACCCACAACTTCTCGGCTCCACAATCTCCATTCATTGGTACCCATATTATTGCTTCGTCAGACGTCTAATGGGTGTACTTTCATCGTAGCCCACGTTTAACGGAATTTCGACGTTAGACCAGGTCATCACACGCTCTTTCATATCCAGATTGATACCAAAGGCAATCATAAAATCTGCGCCTATTATCACTTCGTCTACGATATCGGCAACTATAAACTCGTAATTTCCGAGTTATTGGCAATAGTTAGTCTCAGGGTAATCTTGCCGTGTACTGCCGCGGGCTCACCCGTTGCTGTGCGCAGTCTGACTCCATTAAGTTGCGTTACTTTTCCCTTTACCAGATCTGATCTTATGATGGACTTTGATGCGCCAGTATCTAACGTCAGAACTCGCTTATCACCATTGATGTACCCAATTGTTGTTAGGTTGTGACTTTTCTGTTGTACTATTGCTATGGAGATTGTGGGGCCATGTAGAAAAATCTATACAGTAGTTGTTACAGAAATTTACCTTACAATTCAATTTCTTAAATTAACGGAGTTCATCTAAACTAACTTAAATCTAAAGTTCTATTCGTAACAATATGTTTTTATTTACAATTTTTGACGTTTCCTTTTGTCATTCTTCGTTATTGTTTACTTTGTGGTGACAGTGTTGCCCAATTTTCGTTTTAGTTTGCGAATGCGTTTGCGTGAGCGATACAGAATACCAAATTGAATTCTTAACGCATTTAGCTATCGCATCGCACTTGCTTTCGCAACGCAATACAGAGTAACCCTCCTGACTTTTATAAAAATACCACTCAAGGCACTCATAGAGGATAACAAAATATGAATATCCGTATTATTTTATCTTATTAATTAGTATGAACATTGCTCATTAAGTTTTTTCTTGTATTTACAAGCATTTGAAACCACTGTGATACTCTATTTTAATGTTTTTGTGTGCTTTGCTCATTTCGTTTTATTATTTATTGTACCTACAAACAACTCCAAACCACTGTGATATTTTTTTACACTTAATCCACGAATAATTTAAGTCACTTTACACTTGCAGTAAGCTATTGTTAGAAACATCTCTTTTAATTCGGAATTTGTTTATTGTTGTTTAGTTTTAAGTTTCTTATTTATTTATTTAAACAGACTTTTTTTGCTCTGTGCGCGATTTGATAAGGCCGGGAGCAAGCCTTGACGTTATCTTCACTTTGTTTTTATCATAATTTTCTTTTCCTTTTAACATGTTGCATTACTAAACAGCTGATTGTTTTTAGAACAAGACGATTATAGTTCGAAGTTTTCATGTCATCAATTCACATTACATTACACTATGTTATCGATAAAGAAATGAAGTCTCAATAATGCCATGTACAGACGAGCGTTGTTCGCTCTCTTATTCGTTGTTCGACCCTAAATTATGAAGTAATTACTTAGTTCCCCATACAAAATTGTCTGAGCGAACACCGACTTTTGTACGTTGTTCAATGCGAATCACTCTCTGAATCACCAAGAATTTTGTCCCATCTCTAACAATTGAGAGAATTTATCGAAAATAAATTAATTTTGACAGCATGAAAAACTGTTTAAATTTTTCAAACTTTTTCAGTAAAATTGAAAATGATGAATGAAAAGTAACCACAATTCTAGTTTTTATATATGCAGAAGGATGTAAATTTTGTTGTCTACATAATGCAATGTGCATTTCTTTTGAGTTGAGAAAATATAAAAATGTATTGAAAACAACAATATTTTCAGAAAAAATGGAAAACATGAATTAAAAGTAAAGAGATAGGGGTTGATATTATAGTCAGGAGAAAGAGAATTTTTTTTTCTATTCAGATCCATATGTGATTCACACAAATATGTTACAATTTTGGTGTAAAACAAGAAACAACTAGTTTGAAACAAAAAAACTCTGATGACATGAATTAAGAATAGTGTTGTATGAACGGGTTAATTCATGTACGTAATTTTGAGAGCGAACTTCGTTGTTCGAATGCCCGACAGAACATGGCATAACACTCATGCGACGACTATTTATCGATAATATCAACAAAACAAAAAACACATCTCTAAAATTATAGTCAGCTATTTATTTTGTTTGATATTTTGGCTTAAGGGACCCCCCCATTCACGATTTTAATTCTTCAAGATTTTCAATGGGCTGGTAAATGAATACAAATGCTTGTTAAGGTTTGTAATTTGCACATATATAATTGAAGATTTAAAAGAGAAGAAAAATAATTTACAAAAAATTTTGGTTATTGTTTTGTTGTTGTTTTTTGTAATTAAATAAAAGTCCTTATTTTTGATGGCGGGCATGATAACTCCTCACTGGAACATCGGAATCCGAAAATTCCAACGGTGTTAGAAAGAGTACATGTCTGGCTCTCGTATGAACTAGGATTATTGACTTCGCTCAAAAATTAACAAAATGACGGACCTTTGAAAAAATATTTTTGGAAAATCTCCGATTTTTTACCAAAAACCAAGTTAAAAAATAAGGAAGATCTTCACCGATTGGCTTTATCCTAGTTCATACGAGAGCTATACACTCCCAGAGAAACGTTGCAAAACCGGAACCGATTGGATTATTAGTTTTTGAGTTAACGTGCCCGCCATTCGCAAAAAAATTTTTAGAGAAAAACGCGTTTAAAGTTTGAGCAGCCCTTTAGCTGTCACTTGATGCTGACACAATAAATCGGCTATATCTTCAAGAGTTATTGAGATTTTCACTTGAAATTTTGTAGAGACATTCTTTAATCGGTGTAGATTCGAATTATATCAACAAAGATCACAGGTAGATCTCTCCCTGATGACGAATATATATGACATTCATGGGAGAAGTCCGTACTTCCCGAGATATGGACCTCTGAAGTTGCGGAATTCATATGATCGCTCATAACAGCGTAATTTATGGATCGATGATGGTAACATTGACGGCTATTAAGAATTGCATGTTTAAAATGTTCGATCGCGTAGCCGAATTTTCCATTTGTCATACATAGAATGGTAGTATATATGTACATAGAATTACTTTTTGAGTCGATTTATGCACCTTGCTCCGTTCATTTATGATCGGAATGGGATAAAATTTGGTGCACTCCATCCGAAAGGGACGAAATTTTATTTTGCACAAAGACCTTGGTGACCTTATTTATAGGCCATGGGGAATACCATGGCCTATAAATAAGGTCACCAAGGGAGACCAGCTGATTATCGATACCTCTCAAGTTTGCTGTCAAAATGCATTATTGTGAATTGATTTCCATTATGAAAACGTAAACAAAGTCGAAATTGTTGACATTAGACTTGAGAAAAAACAGCTGTTTTCCGATTTTGATTGCTATCTTGGTGACCTTATTAATAGATCTTGGGGAATACCAATTTGCAAAAGACGACACTCTTCGTCGTCGTTTTGTGTCGACGACGACATACGGAATAGGGGTGATTGACAGATTTGGTGTACTTTATGTGTTGCTATATTTTTGTTTGCTTTCGAAAATACAAAAAATTATGAAAACCATTACAAAATATGTTTTAACAAAAATCGTTGTTGTTTTACAGATGGGAACATAATGGAATCGAGCCGGTATATAAAGTATAATATGCGGCATTCTGTCGTTTATTTCAGGGATATTCTCATAGTTGGATGTAATCAAAATGGGCTTTTCTTCTTTATTTGCCATCATCTTCCAAAAAGAAGAATTGACCGGAACGTTTTTGCTCAGTATCCTACAAATTTTAGATATAATATAATAATTCGATATTAAATAAAAATCAAAAGACGTACCTTTACGGAATTGTTTTTGTTAATGCGTGGTCTGAAATTGTTAGGGTCACGGCGGAAAGTAATACCCAACAGTTCCAAGAAACGGTTCATACCGTTCAACAACGATTGAGGCGAGTAAGCTGTGGTCTTTACCGAAGGTTGACCCTCCAACACAATGACACGATCCGCTAAATATGTTGCCATTATAAAATCGTGCTCTACCACGAAGCCAGTACGTTTGGCGTGCAAAATATAACTGTCGTAAAAAAGAAACATGAACATTGATCCATGGTATCATTGCATTGTATATTGTCGGCTACTCACCGTTTAATAACCTTAGCAGCGACCAAACGTTGTTCTGAATCCAAGTAAGCAGAAGGCTCGTCAATCAAGTACACATCGGCAGGTTTGCCCAAACATAAAACTAAGGCTACCCTTTGCAATTCACCACCAGACAAATTTTGCACTTCTTGGTCCATAATTTCTTCAATTTTCATTGGTTTCATAACATCGGCAACAAATTGAGGATGAACATAGGCGTCGCGAATCTTTTCATGAAGAAGATGGCGGACATGATTTTGGAACTTGGGTGAAATTTTTTGTGGTTTGTAAGAAATATTCAGCACAGGAAGATCCACACTGGTATCAGGCTGTAAGTTGCCAGCCAACATACGAATGAATGTTGTCTTGCCGGTACCATTCTCACCAAGAAGCACCAAAATTTCAGAATCACTAAAGTGACCTTCTTGGACGGTAAGAGAGAAATTGCCCAACGTCTTCTGCATTGCCGGATAAACATAGTGGTTCATTCTCTTAACTTCTTCTTCAGTTGCCGACTCGGAAACCTACACATGTATAGATTGTAAATACAACAGTTGGAAACAATTGATATTCTGTTTTGTATGGTTCTCACCTTGAATGTAAGCGATTCTGTACGGAAACGCATATTTTCAGTTGGAACAAAGCCGTCAAGGAAAATATTTATGCCTTCGCGTACAGAGAAAGGCATAGTAACTACACCATAACAACCAGGAACACCGTATAGACAGCAAATAAAATCGGATAAATAGTCCAATACGGACAAGTCATGTTCGACGACAATTATGAACCTGAAAGATCAGTTTGTTAATAATAGAACAGCCACCAACTATAGGCAAAGCACTTACTTTGTTGGATGTAACAGATGTCGTATCGTCAAAGCAGCATTGAGACGCTGCTTTACATCCAAGTAGGAAGAGGGTTCGTCAAACATGAAAATATCACCGTCTTGAATGCATACCATGGCAATAGCGAAACGCTGCAACTCTCCACCGGAAAGGTCGGCAATGTTGCGTTCACGTATGTGCGATAAATCCAACATTTCACAGATTTCCGTCTGGTTTTTACGCTCATCTTTCTTGTTGAGCAAATCATTGACCGTGCCGCGAACAGCTTTAGGAATCTGGTCGACATATTGCGGTTTGACCAATGCCTTCAAATTGTCCTCGAGAATTTTTGTAAAATAGTTTTGCAGTTCAGATCCACGGAAATAAGCCAAAATCTCTGTCCAGTCTGGAGGATCGATGTAGCGGCCCAAGTTCGGCTTTTGCTTTCCAGCCAATATTTTCAATGCAGTCGACTTGCCAATACCATTTTGACCAACTAGACCCAAAACTTCGCCGGGTCGTGGAATTGGCAAGCGATGCAATTTAAAGGAGTTTTTCCCGTAACGATGAGTTGTGTGCTTCTCCAAATTGCTGGGAATATTTATAATAGTAATTGCCTCAAAAGGACATTTCTGAAAGTAGAAGATAATTGTAGATTTTGTTGTAGAAAATTGTTGATTGAAATCGAATGCCACTATCGCTAAATATAGCGCTCGACACTTACCTTGACACAAATACCACAACCTATACACAATTCTTCGGACAAAGAAGCGATTTTGGATGCGGGCGCCACTTCGATACATAACTTTCCCATACGCACTACAGGACATGATTTTTTGCACTCCTGGCGACAACGCTTTGGCTTACATTTGTCATCACTGACAATGGCAATACGGGTCTGCTTGTCCGTCTCCTCGTGATCTTTTCTGTTGGCCATTTACCTGAAACAAAATATCGAATCGAATCTAAGTAACACACGTTCTCCATTCAATTGAATAAGCCCCCAATGTGACAACAAAGCAAATACTTGTAGGTGGGAATTTCGGACTCAAACACTACCCCACCACTACAAACTGGCTAACAAGAGTGAAAGTGTATAACCTCAACTTTAGCCCATTGCATTTTCTGGCATGGAAATGTACCAGTAATAACAGGACAGGCACCGTGTTGTTGTTGTTTTTGCCTTCCTGACATTTTTCAATAACAATTTAAAGGCAAATTACCTCTTAACTTAGTTTGAATTTGTAAAATCAGACAACGAACGGCCGAACTGCGTGGCCCCGAATAGGAATTCGAAAAGAAAATGTCAAAAATAATTCACTGCATTGACGGCAGTCACAGTTGTTTAATAGTGTACATTTTTCGGTGACTGCTACAACCATGTATTTATTTACGAATATAAGAACAAAACAAAGTGCAAACAATTTAACGAACTTCTTACGCGTTACGCTTTGCATATTATTCAGAGTTGTTTTATTCCAATTAGAGTGGTTATTCTTGCATTCAAACAAAATGTCATTGAAAAAAAGAGATTATTTATTTGTGATTGTTAGCATGGTACAATTATTCATAACAACCTATAAATTAAAAATTTTTCATATTGTGGCTTGTAATGCCAAGGTCTATATAAGTAAGGCAAGTTGCTATCTAAATTTTTTGTCAAAATATAACTAAGTTATAACAAAAAACGTAGTTGGCTATCAAAATTATGTAAAACAATAAGAAAATTATATTAAATAGTGTGAAAAATAAATAAATGGTTAACATTTTTGTAGGAATTCGCCTTCTGGATGACCTGATATTTGGACCATGGTTATGCCCAAGTCGTATACAAAATGTGTGTAATGTTTTGAAAAATATAAAATATATATTCTAATAGTACATTTACATTGTACCGGATTAGGTTAACCCAGTAGTTTATAATTATCAATTCCATTACATATTTGTCAAATAAATCCTTATAAAGAAGGTTAACCCTTGTAAAATGTTCTAATGTACACGTCGTTTAAAATCCATTTGTTTAAAGATGAATTTTACAACTTTGGTAGGAAAAAATGTATGATTTTTGAATGAATCAATATGATAATCATATTTCGTACTCGATTTTGTAAAGAAAACATAAAATTCCATTAATTTTTCGCGTTTTTTTTTTTGGAAAAATGTTACAAATATGTCAAATGATCAGAACGACTTGTTGCATTTGTTTTTATTTATTCTGACATTATAGCCCACAAGGTAGAGGTGTATTTTCCTTTTGTTGATAAAAAATAAACTACTTCATGATACAATTAGTCCTGATTTATATTAGGCGAGTTTATTTGCGGCAATTCTTGTCGTTCTCTTTTGAACTTGCTTCATGCGTCTATACAAGCAATTCGGTTGCAAACATACATATGTATATATTCTGAATTGAATTATTTTTTGTGAAATGACACTACAAACAAAATACACAAAACGAATTGCCAGAAAATTGTCGGTACGAGCAATTTTTTTCCATTTCTATTCCCCTTGCCCCTCTCTCCAACAAACAAAGACTTGCGGCAAGTAAACTCGCCTAATCTAAATTGGGACTTATTCAAGGTAGTCCATAGCAACTTATAAATTACAATTTTTTTTCATATTGTTACGAATATAACTTTAGATTTATGTTAATTTTGATGAATTCCGTTAATTTAAGAATTTGAATTGTAACGTAAATTTGTACTACGCAGTTTACTCGAATAACTTCACAACACAACTACTGTATAGATTTTTCTACCTCCTTCCATTTCCTCTTTCATTGTCTATTTTGTTATTGACGTACAATTCTTGTTAAACGTCACCATTGATGATCGCTTAATTCCTCTTTCTTTGTTACTCCCTCGCCAACATATGTGTTGTTGTTATTGTTCACCCAAGTTAATTTTGTATGTGTTTGTTGCATTGGTAGATTGTTCGAAATCTAGGTGTTACCGGATCGTCTAGAAACGTCTGTAGCGACAGGCAAGGCTCATATAAATAGGGGAAATGGCAAGGCAGTTAGTCAGTTGTGAATCAGATCGCGAATTGAAACCGTCAAGTAACGTAAAGCTGTAAAGTGCAAAGTAAAGTTGTGTCAATAAAATCATTGTAGTACTCGTAATCAGAAAGAACCCGCGTTTTATTTAGTACGAACTGTACTGGGAAATAAAACAACGTCTACACGGGAGTAAGTAAAATCCAAGAACGTAACAATTTGTGTCGGAAGTGAGATTATGATAATACTACGATGAAGTTTAAGGATCTACGAGTGGAAGACTTGAAGAAGGAGCTCATTAAATTGGAATTGTCCTCTACTGGCAACAAGGCTGAACTACAAAAACGTCTGTTGGATGATAATAAATCCACGCCTCAGTTGGCCCTTGAAAAATATTCTTTAATAAATCGACGCCTCAGTTGGCCCTTGAAAAATATTCTTCAATAAATCCACGCCTCAGTTGGCCCTTGAAAAATATTCTTTAATAAATCCACGCCTAAGTTGGCCCTTGAAAAATATTCTTTAATAAATCCACGCCTCAGTTGGCCCTTGAAAAATATTCTTTAATAAATCCACGCCTCAGTTGGCCCTTGAAAAATATTCTTTAATAAATCCACGCCTCAGTTGGCCCTTGAAAAATATTCTTTAATAAATCCACGCCTCAGTTGGCCCTTGAAAAATATTCTTTAATAAATCCACGCCTCAGTTGGCCCTTGAAAAATATTCTTTAATAAATCCACGCCTCAGTTGGCCCTTGAAAAAAAGTCTCGTCAGTAGCTGCCAGGAAGTCTCGTCAGTAGCTGCCAGGGGTGACGATTTGAGAGAAATGCTGGCTAAAATGTTTGAGGAAAATTCCAAAAGGAACGAAGAGATTTCCAGAAAATTAGAAGAAAACACGAGTCGAATGTTCGAAGAGAATTCCAGAAAGTTAGAAGAAAAATCGAGACGAATGTTCGAAGAGAATTCCAGAAAGTTAGATGAACTCAAGGCGGAGAATTGTAGAATGAACGAGAAACTCGAGAACAGGAGAGTGGAAACCGTAAAGATCCAAATAAAAGAGTTGGATAAGAAAGTGCAGTCGGTTGACGAGAAGATTCTGTCTGTGGATGAGAAATTTCTGGCCCACAACCACAGGTTTACGAATCTGGAGAAGAAAATGTCGGAACTGGAAATCAAAGGTGGTCCGGTGCGAGTTCCTGATAACACACTAAAAATCAAACCTCCTGTATTCGACGGCTCTACGTCATTCAATGTTTTCAAGTTACAGTTCGAGACAGTGGCTTCTAGAAATTCGTGGAACGACAGCGACAAAGCGGTTGCACTACTTCTGGCATTGAAGGGCAGTGCTGCTGATGTTATGCAGAGTATTTCTGTCGCTTCTAGAAATTTTGCTGCTCTGGAACGTAAGTACGGTGGCGAACGTAAACAAAACATCTACCTTATGGAATTAAGGGGAAGAGTACAGAGGGCAAACGAGACGTTACAAGACTTTGCAGCTGAGGTGGAACGTTTGGTGCTAATGACGTATCCAGGAGAGAATCACCCATTGTTGGACCGTATGAAAATCGAAACCTTTGTGAATGGCATACGTGATTAAATGTGCAACATATGCGTCACCAAAAGCGTCATTTGCCGAAACCGTGTTTAGAGAAAAACGCGTTTAAAGTTTGAGAAGCCCTTCAGCCGTCACTTGATGCTGACCCAATAAATCAGCAATATCTTCAAGAGTTCTTGAGATTTTCACTTGAAATTTTGTAGAGACATTCTTTAATCAGTGTAGATTCGAATTATATCAACAAAAATTTTGACCCCGAGAATGGGGGGTCCCCTTAAGTTAATTAAGATGAATTCCGTTAATTTAAGAATTCGAATTGTAACGTAAATTTCTACTACGCAGTTTACTCGAATAACTTCACAACAACAACTACTGTATAGATTTTTCTACCTCCTTCCATTTCCTCTTTCATTGTCTATTTTGTTATTGACGTAGAATTCTTGTTAAACGTCATCATTGATGATCGCTTAATTCCTCTTTCTTTGTTACTCCCTCGCTCAGTGTAAGTTTGTATATGTTTGTTGCATTGGTAGATTGTTCGTAATCTAGGTGTTACCAGATCGTCTAAAAATTTCTGTAGCGACAGGCAAGGCTCATATAAATAGGGGAAATGGCAAGGCAGTTAGTCAGTTGTGAATCAGATCGCGAATTGAAACCGTCAAGTAACGTAAAGCTGTAAAGTAAAGTGCAAAGTAAAGTTGTGTCAATAAAATCATTGTAGTACTCGTAATCAGAAAGAACCCGCGTTTTATTTAGTACGAACTGTACTGGGAAATAAAACAACGTCTACACGGGATTAAGTAAAATCCAAGAACGTAACAATATTGTGGCTTGCAAGATGTGTGACTGTATTGGTCAGTTCCTGTACAGCAAGAATCTACTATATTTTACTATTTTCTTAGATAACATAAAGGAAATTTCGTTATCGTAATAAAAAAATAGTAGATTCTTGCTGTACGGGAACATACCATATGTGTAATGTTTTAAAAAATACAAACAAATTTATTCAAAAATCCATTTGTTTCATCATGGTATAATAAGTCTGCTTTTCCACAGGCAGATTTTTATTTGGCAAATTTTTTGTTTTCTCTTTTGAAATTTTCGCTTGCTTTTCCATTAGCAAATTTTTCTTTGCCAAATTTGCGAATCAAAATACAAAAGAAAGAAAATAAAAGTTAAATTTCACTTGCACAAATTAAAGCAACAGGTTTGTAAACAAAAGCCGGCTGTGTGTCAGTAAAGCGAATAGGTTCAAAAGGAAATGTCAACAAAATTGTTTTCAACGAACAGAGCAAAGCAGAATTTTGCGTGTACGGCAAATTCTGAACAGGAAAATTTTTGTTTTTCTTCCTCGCACCTCTCTCGCCTGCAAACTCAGTATTTGCCAAATAAAAATTTGCCTGTGGAAAAGCAGACTAATAGAAGGTAACAGCAAGTGTTGTTGTACAAAAAACGATACAACAACCACATGGAAATTTGTTGTTGTAAGTTCTACTAGTGTCAACCCATTTGACAGAAAAATGTAAACAAACAAACAAATTATCATCAAATTATTTTTATTTTGAAAATGAAATATTTTCGAATCCTTAAAACAAATATTGAAAAACATAAATGAAAATCTATCAAATTTATATTTCTATCGCTTCCACATTTTTCCTATAATTGAGCCATTGCCATATATATGTGTAACACATATGAAAATGCTGGGAATAGCGAGCTATTCTTTGAAGAAAGATTTGCTTCCTCAAACTTTCCCAGCAGGCAGATTGAGTAAATTGAATACGGGAGCACATTTAATAAAGAACAATTTCAAATTGTATGCGTTCCCAATTTTCCTGTTGGGTGATTTTTAAAAACATAATTTGTCAAATTCATACTGACACTAGTATTACGTTGGAATCAAATCAGCTGGGATTTGCTGTTACCTTTTATAGTTGTACCATGTTGTTTCATATTGGTTATTTTCCAGAATTGCAAGAACTATTGCAGTAAAAATTTGTATACAATTGTTGACAATGAAGATACAAAGAAAATTTAGCATATTATTGCACGGGTTTACATTCTTTAGACCGCTTTCCCAAAGGCAGATTTTTATTTGGCAAATTTTTTGTTTGCTTTTCCACTAGCAAATTTTTCTTATTAAATTTCACTTGCACAAATTAAAATAACAGATTTGTAAAAAGAGCAAAGCATAATTTGCGTGTACTGCAAATTCTGAATAGGCAATGTTTTGTTTACACATATATTTGTGTACACACACATACACAAAATATGTATTTTGATTTGATGGAACAAGCCACCTTGAGAAAAATTGTAATCAGTTGGTAGCTGTGCCCTACCTTGTAATAATTATACCATGTTACAAATGTTCTAAAATTCAATTTAAAGAAATCGATTTTCGAATATATTTTGTTATATTTTGTATATGACTTTGGCATAACAAGCCATAGTATGAAAAAATTGTAATTTATAGGTTGCTATGGCCTACCTTGGGACTCACATTTATTACATATTCTGTCAATGCGGGAAGCGTATATGCGTACCCCTAATACTTGTGTTTGACAAATGATGCTGCCAAGTTTTGCAGTAATCGTGGTTGTGGTGACGTTTTGACAGTTCGCAAAGTGCATTCATATCAATTGGGTTCGACGTTCATAATATTCCCGTCGTCAAAGGATTTTTAGGAAAAAAACAATGGTTGAAGAGAAGAATCCAACTGAGAATGTCGAAGAGGAGCAGACAACAGGGCCTCTGCCTGCCGAACCAGCAAAAGTTTTCACAGTAGAAAGTAATCTTTAAAACACACTGTACAAGAACATGGCACAGTTGGGGGATACAACTAATTGGAATTCACTGCATATAACCTTAAAACAAAAAGCTTTCACTTTTATATCCATTCATGTTATGTTGTTTACAAGCGTTTGAGAAGTTACTTTATTAGATTGTTTTACTTCTTTTCAGTCTTGCACATGATCAAGGAGGCCCAGCAGCAACATGGTCTCCGTCATGGCGACTACCAACGTTATCGTGGTTATTGCACTAGACGCATTCGACGTCTACGAAAAGCCCTCAAATTCCCCCAAGGTGACAAGAGACATTTTAAGCGTCGTGATGTTACTTTAGCTCAACTAACGGGGAAGCGTGCTGACGAACGCTTTATCCATATACCATTGATAAGCGCAGAGCGTGCCTGGGCATATGCCATGCAATTAAAGCAGGAATCGAATACGGAACCACGAAAACGTTTCCACTTGATTAGCAAATTGAGGAAGGCTTGCGTATATGCTCTGCAACTGCAAGACTTGTGCAATGTATGTATGGGGCCATGAAATTATTATTGTTACAGTGCTAATATTTGTTGTATTTTAGTCGGACGCGTTTGATGCTCGGACAAAACTGGAATGCGAGGCTTACGTTGCCTGGATGCACGGCAGCCTACATTTCGAATTACAGCTGTGGAAGACTGCCGGCGAACACTTGAAACGTGCCCAGGTGGTCTATGAGAACTTGGCTAAAGCCTTGCCGGAAGATGAACAGGAGTTGTACAGGGCTAAGGTTAATGAATTTACCCCTAACTTGCGCTACTGTGCCTACAATATTAGCGGTGGTCGTGCTGCAGGTGCCAATATGGACGATTTGCTGGAATTCCGAGCACAAGGATTACTTGAGAACTTGGACGATTTGGTGAATAAAACCAAGACGGAGAGTAGCGAAGGTTTGCAAACTATCGAATGGCGTGGCCGAAAGGTTACAGTCCGTCCTGAAAAGGTCCGACTATTCCTGCTCAGCGCACAAGAGCTCGACAAGAGCCTGGAGAAGGCTTCTAAAATTGATTCGAAGATTGAATTAATCGAACGTACATTGATGGATTGCAAAGATGCCATACAGGCTGTTAAGGAGGAAATAAAACAGGATCCAAAATTGAGATCGTTGACAACGGGTCAGACAGTCTCGGGAATTCAATATCTCTTGGCGTACCTTTCGTACATTCGCCATAGTCGCACTTTGCAACGGAATTTGTGTTTGGTGGAACAAGCCAAGTCGAACTTCGACGATCCGAATCAGAAGTCACAAATAGGAGGTGGCGATGGTAAACGGGTGAGACCCCAAGATTTGACACGTTTGTACGAAATTATTCTTCAAAATGTAACAGAAATGCAACAAATTCCCGGAATGGAGGATGATCAAACCTATCAGTCGGAAATCGAAAACCTTGCACTTACATTTAAGGCATTCCGCTGTTATTATATAGCGCTCACCCTGGTCGATATGAAGAAATGGAAAGAAGCCGTGGCACTCTATGAACGTTCTTCGAAATACGCTGGCGAAGCCTTGAAGACTACAACAACTGATACATTTAATCTAAACGATGAGCTAAAGAAACTCATATCTACAATTGATAGCTGCAAGTTTTCGGCTCATGCTTACAGTGTTCTTGAGGACGACAACACTGACGACCCTATCTTCACTTCAAAATCGCAAAAGTCTTCGAAGCCTTTGTTCGAGCGCCTTTCTCAATACAAGGAAGATCAATCGTTGCACACTAAGAACCCCAATGTTTTCAAGATGGTTCCCGAAATGGAAGCTATACCCTGCAAGCCACTATTTTTCGATTTAGCATTGAATTATGTCGAGTTTCCATCATTGGAAGATAAGTTACAATCACCTGGGAAAAAGGGTATTTCCGGTTTTGTTAAAGGTTTTCTGGGATGGGGAGGCAACAAGTAATCGCCCTATATTAATTACGTCTGCAACAATTTTATTCCATAATGTCGCATATAAGGTGAAGCTAAATAACAAATAACCACGTCAAATAGTGGTATTGGTATAATTTATATCTTAGCAATTTATTTGTTATTGTGTTTTTTTTTTTATTGAAAAAATAAAGATCCTTTCGGTACTTTTCTTAAAATTGCTCTTGAAGTTTATGAGGTTTTATTTTTATTTAGATTAAAAACAGAATTCGGTACGCTGCACTGTGGGTGAAATTGACACTTGAAAATTTGCAAATATGTTGCTCATGGGTACGGGAACAATCGGATGGAATAAAATTTATATAGGCCCACTTCTCCATATAACTATACATTCGACTTAAGGAAATTAAATGATACAAAAACAAATATTTTTTTTTCATTTTTTGTAACAGATATTCTATGAGGAATTGAAATTTTATATATGTATACATATATATATATATATATATATATTCAAGGTTTTAATTCAAGAAAAAGTGAAATTGCGATTGTTTTGGAAAATTTACCACATCCTGTATAACGTTGTTATGAATAAACCTTGTTTAAACTCTTGTTTGAGAATTGTATGATGGCAACCCTTTAATATTTTACAACAAATATTTTACAAAAACAACATTGTTGTTATAGAAATTGAATTGTCTTGCTGACAATTAGTTTTAGTCAAAAATAAAAACAAATATTTATTTGTTTTCATTTTTGTCAACAAATAATCTATGAGGAATTGAAATCTTTTGTTTTTGGGAAATTTCCCACATCCTGCCCGTGGTTCCTATATATATATATATATATATATTTAAATGTGGCTTCCTATATATATAGATATATATATATATATATATATATATTTAATTATGGCTACCAAATCAGCCCTTCTCAGTGGAAAAAGTTGTGTGCCTTAAATCGCCGCTCAAAGACCACAAAATAATGAAGATTGCGTTACGTAGCCAGTATACCAATATTGTCATAAGCGTATGTCAAATTCTCGGGCCGAAGTACGGCTATCCACAAATGCTTTTCAATTTAAAATAACATATAAAGATCCACTACGGAATCTATTCTTAATAGCAAAGATTTTGTTATTGAGCATAATTGAAATTTGAAGGAAATGAAACGTCGAAGAAATTTGTTTTGACAATTTATTTCAAAAACAATAAAGAAAAAAGTTTAAAACCATATGGTTGTCACTTAAACTTTATTAAATACACCTTGATAAATTCCATAAAATTTTATGTATGTCGATGGCATATTTTCCATAAATTAAAGAAAATATATTTTCTAAAGCTGCACATTGTTATCAAGATTTAACCTAAGTTATTAAAGGTCGTTTACATTGAACCGGATTTGGTTAACCGAGTGGGTTTAAATTTTCAATTCCTTTAAATATATGCCAAATAAATCCTCATAAAGTGGATTAACCCAGTAAAAAGTTCTAATGTAAATGCCGTATTACAATCCATATTTAAAAGTTTTAGAGGCAGGGAAATTCAAAATATTTATAAATATAAATTATTTAGCAAACTTTGCATTTGAACACATGATATGCGTACATTTCGAAGGAAGGTATTTTCATTTAAATTTGAAAGCTGAATGCTGTAAAGGCAAATTTATGAAAAAAATGGAAACATATGACTGCATGAGACTACCTTGTCCTATCTTCTTTTCATATTTAGAATAACTTTCTGAATGGATTTGTACATGTCCGTCTGTCAGTCCAAGTACAAATGTGAACAAAGTACAGGCCGTATTGATGATCCGAATGGGGTTTCGCTAAGGACGATTTCAATAGTGAAATCGGTTCAGATTTAGAAATAGCTCCCATATATAGTTTCGTTAGATTTTGCTATAGTGCGCCAAAGTCCCATTGTGCATAAAACCCAATGTTCCACTGACTGCGATGAAGCATTGTAAAACGTATAAAATATAGCTTAGAATGTCATGTATTTGGTTTTATTGAAATAAGAATTTGTAGGGACATGTATTGTATAAGCAAAGGGTATCATATAGACGGCCCGTCTGACCTTTGTACTTTTCTTACTGGTCTTTAAAGGGATACAATCCGCTTCCACCACTAAAGATTGTAAAACAATGGCAATGAATATAAAATTATATTATGTTCGTTTTGGAGGAAGGAAATGAATACTGTGACCAAGGTTTATTTATAAGCCTTCGTTGTTTGTCAAAATGTTTCAACAAAACTATATACTCATAATTATGGGCTCATAATTTCGTCTCAATCGGAAAAATCGTGGGAATTTGATGCATCATTTAGAAGAAAACGGACGAAATATATATGGCAGCTTTATCTAAATCTGACCCTTACCGGTTAAACTTATAAATAAACCTTGGTTGATAGCTACTCAAATACAATTTTTTTCTTAGTGTACCCCTTTTCTTGGCAACTTTTTGTAGAAATTAAATAACTAAAAATAAACATTTGCACGCCGTGATAGTTGTCCCAATCCTATATCAAATCAAGTTCGAAGGCGTAATACAAAAAAAAAAAAAAAAAAAAAAACATAATTGTTTAACCCAAGGCCTTTATAAGGTCGGCCAGTAAGCACAGGTGAGTATAAAGTTTGCTGTCAAATCATATTTTGAAACCTATACATACATACAAAATTATGTTAGACGTCAAAACGAAATTATTAACATTTTTCAACATTCAATTAAATTTTAATTTATATCGTCTTTGTGAAATCGTACAATTATTTCAAGAGTTTAAAGAATATTTTCAAGTAAATTATCCTACAAATTATAGATTGTTTTGTGTTTTGGCTGTGTTTTTCATTTAAGGGAACCCCCCCCCCCCCCCCACCCTTTCTCGATTTTAATTTTTCAAGATTTTCAATGGGCTGGCAAATCAATACCAATGCTTGTTAAGGTTTGTAACTTTGCACATATATAATTGAAGATTTAAAAGAGAAGAAAAATCATTTACAAAAAATTTTTGTTACTGTTTTTTGAAATTAAAGAAAAGTCCTTATTTTTGATGGCGGGCATGATAACTCCTCACTGGAACATCGGAATCCGAAAAATCCAATGGTGTTAGAAAGAGTACATGTCTGCCTCTCGTATGAACTAGGATTATTGACTTCGCTCTAAAATTAACAAAATGGAGGACCTTTGAAAAAATATTTTTGGAAAATCGCCGATTTTTTACCAAAAACCAGTTAAAAAATAAGGAAGATCTTCACCGATTGGCTTTATCCTAGTTCATACGATAGCTATACACTATTCACAAAAAAATGTTTAGAGAAAAACACGTTTAAGTTTGAGAAGCCCTTCAGCCGTCACTTGATGCTGACACAATAAATCGGCTATATCTTCAAGAGTTCTTGAGATTTTCACTTGAAATTTTGTAGGAACATTCCCCGAGAATGGGGGGGGGGGGTCCCCTTATAGGCAAAACAATTAGATTTCGCTTTGGCAAAAATAATTGACATTAAACTTAAGTTTTCTCTATGAATTTATTTATTTATATATTCATTCAGTAATAAGGAAGCCTTCACGGCCAATATTATATTACAAGTTCAATATATGACTAAGAATAATTCAATATTAACAATAAATTCAATGTTTATACATTTATTATTTACATATTTATAATGAACCAAATACTCACTGATCCCCACCATAAAAAGTAAACGAAAATAATATACAAACTAAAAAACTAAGAAGGTCGTGCCAGTAATAGATTCTTCAAAATTTGACCTAACTTAGTTAAGAAAACGCATGAATTTCAGGCGGATAACATTATTGGAGTGCGAGAAAATCCTCAAGTCATAAGGTAAGCTGTTCCAAATCCGCTTATTTCGCTTACTAGCCGATCTTATATAGGCCTTGGATTAACCAACCCATCAGTGTTGTCATATTTTTATGTTATTTATTAAACCGACAATATCCTAGTCGTCAATATGAGATTAATTTAAGTATCCATTCTGATAAAATTCTAAAGCCAAGTCCCTCAACCGGGAATGATATTCTGGCGTTAATTTCTGTGTACACTTGATTTCCTTGGCGCTGCTATTCATTTCACTGATCGCATCTAGATTTGGTATATTGTCAGGGTCAAAGGTAACTGCTGGCAGTATCCACATGCAAATTGCCAATCCATACAGCACATGCTTGTAGTATTCGTTGGTAATATTTGGCAGTGAATAGATATCACGAAGTGAATCGAGGTCGGGGCTGGGTTCTGTGAATTGTTCTCCGAGGTTCGACGACAATGCCAACGAATATGTTTCGAGTAAATGTTTCGTGTGCATATCTCTCAAGTCTCGCTTTGTGCTGGTATAAATGAAATGTAATATGTCGAATACCGGCGATGCGTATCGCATGGCTTGCAGGTCGAAAAATTTAACTTTACAAGGTATTGGATTTTCAGCGTTATGTCGACTGTTTACATCGCCAGCTATACTACTATCGTTTAAACCTCTTGAAGAGTTTGTCGTTGTAAACATTATGTTATTCATCCACAGATCGCCATGACACATTACGCTCATGTGTTCCGAAGGATTTGTAATGTAGCTCTGAATTTTGGTGAAGAGCTTGTACTGAAGCTTTTCAATTAATCGGATAGGCTCTGTCAGACAACCATCCACATTCGATGATCGCAAACTATTCAGCGACTCCTGTATGGATGTCTCCAATATATTCTTGTAGAATTCTTCAGCTTCCTTACAATACACGATCTCGCATACCTGTTTGCACTTATCACGAAACATTGCATTGTCTAATCGTTGCGCTGCTATCGAAGCCGCGTGAAACTTTGCCAATTGCTAAAATTAAAAAAGAAGAACAGACAATAACTTCGAGCATCAGTGCAACTACTCACCTTACCTTCATGACTAATTCGCAAAAATTCAAATCCAATCCGGTCAGTCGATTTTGCATACGATAACCGATTTCCTTCAGATCCTCTAAAACTATTATTTCGCCGACATCGTCGTGTCCAGCATAGAAACATTTCGGAAATACACTTTCAGACATATATCGATCCAGAAGTGGTATCACATGATTGTAAGCCATAATTTCATTACAGAATGCTTCATCACAGCGATAAAGCTGACGTCGCGATAAGCTAGGTATTTGTCGCTTTATAATTACAGACATGAAGTCAGGATCTGAAATTGAAAATAAACATTAATAGAACATTTACATTGTACTGGGTTTAGTAAATCCAGTGGATTAAATCCACAACATCGTCAAAAACGCTGTTAACCCTGAAGAAAAGTTGTAATGTAGATGCCGTTTAAGCACTGTATGTATCAATACAATTGATACCAATATAAAAGTCGGGAGCTATTATTATATATTTAGAAAACAGAAAATGCAAGATTTAATTTGAATTAATATTTACCCCTGACAGACGAGAGTTTCTGCATTTACGAAACAGTTTTTTGCTTCAAAACAATTGTTTGTCTGTGTGTAGGATGAACATTTTTTACATTTGTTTCGATATTTTTCGGGATTACATCTTTAGGAAATAGATACATGACATAAAGGAGAAATAGCAACGATAATCTTAGCAAAACAGCTCCCAATTTAAAAAAATGGTTGAAATTTGCCTTCATTTCTTTTTTTATTTTCATAAATATAAATAAATTTGACAAGAAACAATTAATTTTCGACAGCATTGCCATATTGAAATTGCCTAATTCAGTATAAATTCAGTTTGATTTTGTGCATTAACAACACATAAAATGAGGATAATGTACAAGTTAATTTGAATTAAGGCTGTTAATACAAATTAAGGCTGTCGTCTGTCTAGGCTATAAGCTTAACAAATTTTGTTTCGCTTTGTATAGCAAAATAATAAATACCAAAATTACTTTAAGAAGTCTAGTTTATGATGGCAACCCTTTTTAATTTGGAACTCATCTATGTCTTGATTTAGATTGGGCGAGTTTACTTGCGGCAATTCTTGTCGTTCTATTTTGAACTTGCTTCATGCGTCTATACAAGGCAATTCGGTTTCCAAAATATTTTTCTATTTGTTGCTTTTTCACATTTAAATATATATAAAATGTCAACAAATACGAAATACACAAAATGAATTGCCAGAAAATTGTCAGTACAAGCAATTTTTTTTCATTTCTATTCCCCTTGCCCCTCTCTCCTACAAACAAAGACTTGCCGCAAGTAAACTCGCCTAATCTAAATCATGACTATCAATTTTAAATAATATGAAAAATAAATTCCATAAAATTGTATGTATGTATGTCGATTGGAATATTTTCAATAAATTAAACCAAATATATTTTTTAAAGCTGATCATTGCTCTCAAGATTTAACAATGGTTGTTACATCTTATATTTATAAGTTTTAGAGGCGGGGAACTTCAAATATAAATGATTTGGCAATTTTTGCCACTGAACACATGATATGCGTACATTTCGAAAGAAGATATTTTCATTTAAATTTTGAAAGCTGAATACTGTCAAAGGCAAATTTATGAACAAATTGGAAACATATGACTGCATGATACTACCTGGTATAATTATGCCATGGGATTCTTATTGGGTGTCAAATCTTCCTACCGAAAATTAAAAATGACGGCCCATATTTTGATCTAGCTCCCATATAACGGTTCCTGTCCATTTACGGCATATTGAACTTTACCTCTTTAAAAACTGGAGGAGGATCCTCCTCCAGCTAGTCCACTTTCTATTAGAATATAATGTATAGGACCATACACTGTATGAGCGAGATCTTATATTTTTCGTTTAGTTCGATAAAACTCGTGGCAAGTTAACGTAACACAGCGCCATTTTGTAATTTTTTAAGCCCGTAGGCGTGATTAACTCTTTTAATGCGTCTTTCTTGTGAGCCGTCCGAAGACGAACTGATATTTACTGTTTAAGCCGCATTTTCTTAACAAAATTGCTGTACTTTGGCATTATGGGTTCTTGGAGACTGAAAAACATATTCACAGAATATATTCAATATAAGCACATGTTTACAAATATTCCTCATTTATTCCGCGATATTTTGAAGCTTTTAGTTGCATTGTCCCACCGAAGTGATTATAATTTGGTATTCCATATTATCGTAAGGTGAAAGCATCTTTACAAAAGTTAAAAACTCCGCTTTTTACTCGAATTTTATGGGCATGTTCAAAGGTGCCCCACCCGTGGCATTTTACGGAAATGTATAATAACTTTTTTGTAATAAATATATATGAAAGAAATTACATTAGTTATGTTTATTGGAATGCAAAAAATTTGTTTCACGAATGAAGATTGCCATATACAAAATGTGGTAGCGGGTCAGAAAAAAATTTAAACCAAGATTTTATGAGCGCTGTTCAAAGGTGCCCCCTCTCTCCTATATGTTATTCTTATATATTCTTCTAAACTAAGAGGCCAATCATCTATTTTAACAGGCTGTCTTCTATAAAATATATGTCTTCTATATGTCATTTATTTCAATAATCTGTCATGGTCAATATTTATTTTAGTGAAGTCGTATAGAAGATGTCTTGTGCTTATTGAACTCTAATAATGTTTAGAAATTTTCTTATAGTCAACATTATGACTACGTGGTTGTTCCATAGGAGACATTTAGATTTTCAGTTTCGTGACACTATTGGTTGGTTTCGGAGCCTACAAGAATCTTATATTAATCGAATTTTCTACTCTGAGAGCAATTTTTAAATGTTTCCCTTTTACTAGATTTACATAAAAAAGGACTGGAACAGACCAAACATTGCAATAAATTTTTAAATTTCGTTACTTTCTAACTACTTACATAATTTAATAATTAAATTAAGCCTTATGTATGTTTTAATATAAATTATAAAAGAGTGGTAAAGTTTTTCGAAAAACTATTTCGATTAGTTCAAGATTCTTGCAGGTTCGTGAATATATCAGTATACATATATTTGTATTATTATTTATTGCAAGCGTACATACATATATTTTTCTGTAACAAATGTTAAATCCAAGTAAATAATGTATTTTATTATTGATGTCATCTATTTTCATTTTCAAATTCTGGTCATCTAATCTAAACACTGGTAGCTTCATGCTAAAACCATATTTTTTTATTAACTAATTCTAAATAAAATATTTAATATTGTTTATAGTTAATTCTCAATAAGATATTTAGGTTTTCAAATTAAATGTTTGATTTTAAATAAAATATCTCTGAGGTTATCTGGGTTAACTACTGAATGTAAAAATCAATAGATTGATTTTGTGTAGGATACCAAATAGTCCGATTATATCGCTTTGGGTTTTCAACACGAACAGATTTGTCTGTTTAACCAATAGAACGATTTCATGAAGAGTAATTATATCCGAAATATTTTTCATTGCTATGTAAATATTATGTTGACAACAACAATATTTCTCTAGGTTAGTATATCAAAAGGTAGTTACGAATACCTTTGTAATTATTGCTGTTACGATGACCTCGGATTTGAATGCGTTTCACAACTGACATGTAATTGTCACCGGAACTACTGCCGGCACTGCACTTGATGTGTTGTATGTTGAAGGACACAATGTTATTCGCTTTGAATAGCTTTCGGAGATTGTCGACATTTTCCTCGTATTCATTTTCGCAGGCCATTGTTGTTGAACTTGATTTCGAACAGCTGTTAGCCTTCGCATAACCTTACATTTGGAAAAGTTAACCGTTACACGAATACAAACAAAACATTCACTTCAACTGTTGTCGCACTTTCGCTGTGTCTGGAACATAAACCTCAGATCCGTTCGTATTGGTATCTCGATACAAATAAATTCACATTCACTTTTGGGGCAATTCGAATTGCACAGTTTTCAGGGGTAAATAAACGCATTACATTGTTATTGTTCTATTTTTTAGTGTTTTCCACACATACACACTCGCACACTTAAATTGCATCATATGCATGTAGGTGGGGTAGAGTCTGTCTGTTCGAATCGAAAGTAAAATCGATAGTGCACTCTTTTATTTTAATAACAATTACAACAATTTTCTTATTGTGAGTCAGTGACGTATGTATGTTTATTGCGGCTTGTTGTTACTTAGCCACACGAAACGTGAAGCGCCAAGAAGAAATTCCCACTGCGAAAACTATGAACACATTTTGCTTTTACCAAAGCCAATAGACAACTAAAAATGAGCGATATCTAGAATACTAGTATGGCAGTGCAAATGTCTCACATGCATACGCAAAAACAAAGCCGAAATAATAAAAAACAGCAGCACACACACAAAACAGAACAGCATAGGCATCGAAAAGTTTTCTGTTTCCACTTAGAAGTGCATTTATGAGAACATACACATTTGATGGTGTTGTTCTTAGTTGGCTGAAATTTACGCTATATGCCTGGTACAATCATACATGCAATTATGAGCTGATTAGCCGACCTCTTAAATGTAAATAATAAAGTCGCATTTTTTTCAATTCAATTTCAATTTTTTCATGCTTAATTCAGTAATGCATTTTTCAAATTGTTCACACCTCAGTAAATGAGCATATAATACTATATACAGTAATTATCTTTATTTGTACGATATGTAGGGTGGCTGTCATACAAATTGTAGCCATTTGGACAGCGCCCCCACATACATTTCAGTTGCGTATCTTATGCGACTATGATGACGTTTGTGTCTACGTCTAATATTTGTGGTGGCGATAAAAGTGACTGAGACGTTGCACTTGAAATACTAAACTTATCCTTGGAAGTCACTTCAAGTAATGTGTGAGCAAGTGTTAGTGAGTGTATGTGTTACACATGTGCAAACAATTGACTCATCGTCAACCACGAGCGAATTTCACAGTTATATACGAACGTGTTCGGGACGTTCGAACATGATTCGAACAAGAAAACCAGCCAACCTACATACACTAATACGTTGTCAGTTACATATATACATACTTATGTGAATTGCACTTGGCTTACTTATTGAAATTGACTGCATATGTACAATGTATGTACATTAAGGCTACGACTTTTTTCCTACTTTGATGAGTTTTATTTATTTTATTTATATATTTAATTGATGTTTTTCCTGTACAACAAGACAAAAGTCTTATAATTGGCAGTACAGGATTATAAATATAATCACATGTCCATAGGTTTTTAATAATAAGTATCTTAGATAATTATAAAAGTGGTAAAAGAATGGATACATTACGGAAAAGAATATACAGTATTTTTCGGTTAATTGCACATCAAAATTTGCACAAATTTTTGTTCAATTAACCGAGGAACCAATTATCCGAACCCGCTTAATTGAATAGTTTATTCAATTACAGTAATCACGTATAATTGGAACTACTAATGATTTAAAAAAAAATCAATGTCAAATACAAATTACGCTTTCTCGCAGTTTTTCCTTAGCAATAAACATATGTTTTGAATTAGTAGAGGTCCCACCTAGTCTTCTTCACAAATTATGTAAAATATGTATGTAAAAAAATGGCAGATTATTTTTCAATTATTATTATGCAATTAACCGGTGAAAAGTAAAAGGAAATTTATTTTTGATGACATGAATTTTGAACCAATGGTAAATCAATACCAATGCTTGTTTAGGTTTGTAACTTTGCACATATATTTGAAGATTTAAAAGAGAAGAAAAATAATTTGCAAAAAATTTTTGTTATTGTTTTTTGTAATTAAAGAAAGGTCCTTATTTTTGATGGCGGGCATGATAACTCCTCACTGGAACATCGGAATCCGAAAATTCCAACGGTGTTAGAAAGAGTACATGTCTGGCTCTCGTATGAACTAGGATTATTGACTTCGCTCAAAAATTAACAAAATGACGGACCTTTGAAAAAATATTTTTGGAAAATCGCCGATTTTTGACCAAAAACTTAGTTAAAAATAAGGAAGATCTTCACCGATTGGCTTTATCCTAGTTCATACGATAGTTATACACTCACAGAGAAACGTGTAAAAATTTGGAATCGATTGGGTTATTAGTCTTTGAGTTATCGTGCCCCCCATTCGCAAAAGAGAAAAACGCATTTAAAGTTTGAGAAGCCCTTTAGCCGTTTTTCACTTAAAATTTTGTAGGGACATTCTTGAATTAGTGTAGATTCGAATTAAATCAAAAAAAATTTTGACCCCGAGAATGGGGGGTCCCCTTAAGCGTGGAAACCAATTAACCTTAGGGTCAATTAACCGAAAAATAATGTATATATATATATATATATAATAAATTCATTGTATGATCAAACTTAACGTTTTCAATTATGAAAAATGTTGTACAAGCCGTTTTTTAAATTACTTGAATTGCAAATCAGATGGTAGAGCATTCCAATCGCGTATCGTGCAAATGTAATATTGTTTCTCAGAAACCAAGCTCTTCCGACGAAAGTGTATAATTTTCCTTCCCCTATGTGATCTTGCAAATGTAATTTTTTCGAACAAATACGTTGGGTTTTGTTTGACAATAGTTCTATGAAGAAATTGTAGAGATTTGATTTAAAGAAGTGAGTCGAAATTTACTCCATAAAGGATTTAGAATACTGTGCGACATTTTGTCTGTCACTTAGGCCATATACGTATCGTGTTATGCTATTATATGCGACATTCAATTTGTGACGACAGAGCGAATCACAAGTGGCAAACAGCTCACAACCATACAATAAGCTTGGAACTTGGAAGGTTTTGGCCAGCAGACAGCGAATATTGGGAGGTGTGTATGAATGTGTTAGCCACATTTTTTTTATGTAAGATTAGATTAAATTTTAATGATTGAGTGATTCTATAAAAAAATCATGCACAAAAGCATTTAAAAATTTTTTTAGACATTTAGTCAAAATATTGACCTTTATGGGACCTTTGAACACGACATAGTTTTAGTAAAAAAATTTGGTTATGCAAAGTTTGGGTCAAACTAGGGTTTGGGGTCGGGAATTCCCGTCCCGGGTATTTCCGGTATTTTCCGATTTTTTGACATCGATATTCCCGATAGTATTTCCCGGGAAAACGGGAAATTGTATTTCTAAATAAATATTAATACCGAAGTAAAAATTTCAATGCTTAAGTCATAAACAGAATATATAGAATAATACAACAACAAGGGAGATTTTAATGTGTGTGTATAAGTGGAAGATGCTCATTTTAAAACCGATTTATATAATAGACAGAATAGATGTTTTGAAACTCACGTTGTAGCAACTGTTTCAGATAGGGCGAACGTCATGAGAAAATTTATTCTGAATGTCCTATTGAAGGGTTATTTTGCTGGAATCATGCCATACATTTAAATTATTGTTGATGCTGTCTTGAAAACATTGTAAGATCAACAAACTTCCATCGACCATTCAATTCCACAGATATTACAAAAAGAAATAAGTGATCGACGTGACTTAAAATTTATATCTAAACTAACGGATGTGCCAAAAAAGATGCAAAGGTGTATACAGAAGATATTTAGGGTTTCAGAAGAACAAAATCTTGTCACAGTAGTTTTTTTAAAGAAATAAGTTGTATATAAAGTAAGTAAAAGTCCATAAAATATGGGAAAATATTTTCAATTGCTGCACATTTTGACATCAACAAAAGAAACAGTATATCAAGCAACCTATTGAATGCACAAATCAAAAATTCTTCATATGTTTGTTAATGTGTACAAATAATTCTTAATACAATGTTTTGCCAAAAAAATACTAAAATACTTTTATTTAAAAATGATTTCTTCATTATTTCTTTTTAAGTGTTATTGTACAATGACATAGAACGTCATTTTTTTATAATTTTAATTATTTAATTAATATAATATCATTACTATTCCCGATATCCCGGGAATGAAAAAAAATCGAGAATTCCCAAACCGTAGTCAAAACGGTACTAGAAGGAATAGTATGACATTTAGGATTGGAAGAAATATTCTGATGTGCAAAGTGTGGATTAAATCGGCAACTCTTTTCGAGAGTTATCGTGGTCAACAACCAGCTTGACAGGCATTTACCAGCCAGACAGACACTTCAGCCCTAAGTCTGCGTGTGTAAAAATTGTATATATATATATATGTATGTATATATATCTAAAAACGTTTTCTATAGGATTTCTGATAATGAATGTTTTATTTAATGGCCTGTTCCGTACTGCAAGAATATACAAGTTTTTACTGCGATAGAACATTTTCCTGTATGACAAAAAGAAATATGGCTCAGTTATACCAGTGTCAAATAACTCTTTACACAACCATGGCATAATGTATATAGATTTCGAAGAAGGATATTTTCATTTAAATTTTAAAAACTGATTGTTGCCAAAAGTAAAAATTTAATCATATGTCTGCCTTGTATAATTATGCCATGATTATTTACTTCATGCGAAAAGATGAAATTGAATATTTTTTTGTTTTTGTTATATTTTACTTGTTAAAACTGAATTTGCTATTTCTTTTGCATTTTGTCTCTTAACCCTTTCAGTGTTTTTGTCGAATATATTCGACATTTAAAAATTCTCTCTTTCTTTGCGATTTTTCGGTTATCCTATGTACCGTTAACATTGATGTTTTTGTTTTGCTGAAAAACAGACGAAACTGTCCGAGGGTTAAAATGAAAATTGCCTTTTTTTCTAAACTCTATGCCTTTATATGATTTTAAGTACAAAATTTTAGATTTTTATTCCGAAAAAAATTTTATTTGACACTGAAAGGGTTAATACAAATATAAACATGTAAATAGGATTACGTTCATAAAGAAATATTTATGTTTATTATTAAT